GACAAGCGACTTACCTATTTATGGAGGAACACATGCTCTGCCCTCACTCTTAATATTCCTGAAGTAATGTTGTGGCCATTAATTATGAATCAGTTACAATAAGCAATTCCAAATTGAGGATCTGTAAAATATATATGAAAAATAAGGAGACACTCAATAATTATTTCCAAATGAAATAATCTCAGAGAATAAAAAAAGTAAGATTTATAAAATGTATTAACTAGCATAGGAGTTAAAAGTTAGTACTATCATTTTTGTATATTGTATGTAATATCATGTTTAAGTGAACAGAATTTAAGTTCGCAGTATCATTTTTTAAAGAAATGCTTAGAAGTATTTTGATTCCCCTTACATGTCTTTCATATCACTGTACGTCTCTTTTCAACCTTTTTTCTGTGTTGAATATCATATAGTATATCGTAAGCTTGAATACGAATGTATCCACCGGATAAACTGACACAAATTACTCATTCCACTTCCCGCTTTTCTGTTTTCCCCGGATGATTATTTTCTCTTTTCCTTTTTTCAGCACTAAATCCAACAGAGCATTGTGTCTAACCTGTCAACAGGTTAGTCAGTAGTCCTGTCAACACATCAGATTGTACTGCAAGAAATAGTTGTTTTGTTTTGCAAAAAGTTTTTTTTTTCTTATATGTTCTGGTTGTTGTTGAATAGCTTGAATACTTTTGCAGAATAAGCAGAATGTAGGCAGGGAAACAGCTGTTACTGATACAAAGTATGTACAAGCCTTCTTTTTTCCTCAGATTTACCACAGAGGTAATGTTTTGAAAATTAGGAAAAACAGCTGTTTTTTGACCATAAAATCTAAAACTGGAGTGTTAATTATTTCCCAATAGAGGGAGAATTATACAAACTTAAAAAGTCTAGAGGGAATAACCAGACAGGTGGGCAAGTAAAGAAACTAATTCTTCTAAGTGCTCTGCTGGCCCCTTACCATTGTGTGAGTGGTGGTGGATAATTTTGTGAGAGACACTAACAGATAAATTATTGTGCATGCAGTTCATCTGCCTGGAAAATAATTGGGAATCTAAAACATTCTTAATTTTAATTGGCTTTGGCATTGTATACTATATGATCAAGAAAATTAACTTTTTTTATTTAACTCTCCTCTGTCTATGCTGTATGTGTAATAAGTCAAAAGATAGTGATTTTGAGTCTGGTGGTTCTTTTTTGTAATATGTTGTTAATTTGTATTACATTACAAAAATCCAAAACTGCATAAAATTGTATTAAAACAAAAATATGAGTCTTCCACGGAGGATATTAAGTGCATATGAGACCGAATAAAAACTTGGACTGATTATTTTTCATTGGCAGTCACATCACCTACTAAAATTTGAGAATTGGTCTCTTGTAGGCTACTTTTTAGGGTTGCAGGAGGTCTAAATGTATTTTTATGGTTTAACAACGTTACTGTAAACAAATTCTCAATTAATATTTCACACATTATACAGTTCCAGTTGAACAGTAATGTTAGCTGGCACTCATCAAAGAGTGACAATACAGTTAAAATTGTTGAACTAGTTACTTAGAAGCAAAGTATTATGCTTTTGTGATTTTTGTTATATTTTTACATATTATAACCCTTAATAATAAATACAAATTAGTTGCTACATACCTGATTAGTTCTGTTTTGAGACTTATAATGTATAATTTTCTGAATGACCTTATGAGATTTATTTCAATTTGTTGAAGACAAAATGTTTATCTTGTTTCTGACTAAGCATCTGACAATTCTAAGACTGTAATCAGTAATTCTTATCCGATATTCTAGATCTTTCTATCTTATAAGTAAATTGTACTCTTTGAATATAGTTTGCTTTAAATTTCAAAACGGCAATGAGGTGTGAAGGTCCAAACTCTTACTTATTCATAAGTTCAGAGCAGTGCAGTAATAGAAGTACTGGCACCAATGACTTCCATGGCTCAGATGGAATGCTTAAAACACCAGATTAGCAATTTGAAAGCCAAGGGACTGTATGGTTATGTGTATGTTTTTTTCAATTATTGTAAGAAGTTTCTCTCTTCTGATATTTAATAGGGATGACATTAATGAAATTGTTTATTACTTTAATTATTTCTTGGGTATATCACTCCAGCTGCCTCCTACCAGCTCCATGCAGGATTTGAATATTTCAGAATCAAGAAGGCCTTTAAGTTTTTACTGCCAGAGCAATAAAATATAGGGAAGACCAGAACTTACAACATTAGTTTTTATTACTTAACCTTACAGTAAGGTTAATAAATGTCATGAAAATCTAAAAGATACAGTTAATTATAGTGTTTTTATATTAATTCAGGTACAGAGATATATTTTTGTAAAACAGATCCAAAGAAAATAAACTTATAGCAGAAATATATTTTTTAGAAGGTAACTGAAACCTAATGTAGCAATACTAAATATTACCTTTGTATACTTCAAGACATAGCTGTGTTTTTAGCTTTGAATTGGTTTCATGTCAGATGTGTTTTTAAAACAAGTATTGTGGATATTTCCTTGCCAAACGTGGTGTGTTATATCTGCTTTTCACAGTTTCTTACACTGATAGTTGCTTCTAGCCAGAAACTCTTTCTAACTGGGATTTTATTGACACAAATCCTTTTATAACAATCATATAATAAACAGAAAAAATGAAGTGTCACCAGTAGTACAAACAAAAATGTACAATTAAAATGCACAATTTAAGTGGAGATTATCCAAAGGTAACAGTGCAGTTACTGATTTTTACCTAATATCACATTTCTAAAACATTTATGTGAAGATAAGATGTTTATTAAACAGCACATTAACAAAGCTAGTGTATTTCATGAACAGCCCTACTGCAATATGAGAAAAAAACTAGTTACAGCTGGCCATTCCATCTTCAGTAGCAGTTACAGTATACTGTAGTTGAAGCACACCAAAGCATTGACTCCCTCTAGATGTCCACACTTGTGAACATCCCCCTGCATCATCACGGTTTAAAGGTATATATTATACTCTTTATGCTGGTTAAAGTAACTACATGCAGTTGTTAGCATCATCTTTCTATAGGCATGTATCTATAAACAATGATGATGTAACCTTAAAATCTTAATAAAATCTTAGCTTGTTTATACATTTGCACTCTTATATATCCATCCATTTATTCATCAATGCATTAGATAGCCACTTACTTATGGTAATAACTATAGGCAACCGAGTATACAGCACAATGACGTCAATCTATCACTGGATATAAATGTACAGAAGCACACTTGGCCAATTTAGAAACACAGATGAAACTAGCCAAAGATGAGAGGAAGCCAGAGCATCGTGTCGAACGCCACACATGACAATATGCAGAATACACTGTATTGCAGAAAATAATAAAATGTCAACAAAAACATTTTGTGTATGCTGTACTGAAAAAGTCATGTAACATTATTGTCTGTATTTGAAAAGAATGTTAATGGACAAATATAACAAAAAGGGTACAATGATATATTTTATAAAAAATGAGTAACAATACAGTTACCTAGAGAGGCTATTAAATTAATATGGAATAAACCTATTACTTGTTCCTTTGCAGCCTACGCATGCTGACGCAGCTACCCACCTGAACTATTAAATTAATATTATGATTTATTGGTGTGCTAGTGAATTAAATCTGAATTAAGAGTTTTGTACGAAGAGAAAGAGTTTTGCTTCGTTCCAGCTGTTCACTAAGATATGACGGTCTGGGAAAGAAACACCTGTTAAGTGGGTATTAATATGATGAGGTAAACATGGAAAATATTCTGTGGCACAGTGTGCTAGTAATACCTGGCTAAACCATGTATTTTTAATTAAATACAGTGCACGCTCAGCTCTTTAAGGCGTTCCTTCAGTGGTTTATTGTGGGGTTTCTTTCCATATTTGCTGTTTATTCAGAATATAGATTTTAAAATATCTATATTATCTTGCTTGACAACTGTAATTTACAACATACTGTAATCTTTCCAACTATGCGCTCCCAGCTAGAGTCTTAACAATCCAGATTCTGTCCTGGATGAACCGGACCGAGGCAGGTCTACGCCCTGTATACATTACCAGTACATTGTAGGCCATGTCCACAGACAGTGGCAAATTAGAAATGCCATTATACCCTGTACAGGACATAGAGATAACATGCACACTTCACACAGAAGCCACTGCTGTGAAAACCAAAGCCAGGTCATAAGAGCTGTGAACTAAATGACACACTCTACCCTTTCTGTCATCGTAAAATAGGTTTTATGATGCACAATAATTTGCTAATATTACTGACAATTACAATTAGATCATAATTTGGTTATTTTTGTTTTGCCAGTAAATTGTAGTTACAATTAAATACTTGTTTTAAAATTGAGTTCCTTTGTTTTAATTGATATGAGACATCTTAATGCAGTCACATATAACCACCATAAGGTTTTCTGTACTAATTCTAAAAAAAATTAACTTGTCAGTATGCCCTGTGTCAATAAAATGTCTGTGAGGATTTCTTTTTCAGGTTTTACAAATATATAATATAGAGTAATAAGAGTAATTTGGTGAAAGAATGACAGTAATTTTTTGTGTAAAAAGTTGCGTTAAGTTGGAATTTTAGTTTAGCTGTTGGGTTCACAGATTAATGTTGGGTTGGGTTCTTTTAACCAGGTTTAGATTTGGTTTCAGTCATTTTTGTTTTATTTTTCCACTAGTATACATTTATAGTGTATACTGTATAGGGAATTTTTGTTTATGTGCCTGATAAGATTTTAAGAGCTACACTTGCTGGTGAAATTATACAAATTTATGTATGGAGTGAAAGAAGAAATATATTGCCAAAAATAGGGATGTTGCTTATTTTTATAACAGGGAGTGCCAGAAATATGCGTGAATTTGAAAGGTGTTAACTGTAAGAGCATTTTTTAATTAACACAGACAACATTAGCAGTATGAATCGCTCTTTTTGCACTTGTAAGAGTGTTTTTGATTGTTTTGTGTTTTTGATTTGCAGCCGATGGGTCAGATTGCTGTTTGGGAGAGAATTTCCTCTTCAAGATCTGCTTGTTGTCTGGGATGCGCTTTTTGCCGACAGTATTACCTTGGATTTAGTTGACTACATTTTTGTAGCCATGCTTCTGTACATCAGAGATGCTTGTGAGTATGACTTTATTTACCAAAGAAGCACTAATGTAACCAAATATATTTACAAGCATATGTCAATTTGTAGTTAAAGTCCATGATAAAGTGGATTTTTTCTCACAATTGACTCATACAACTCGTTTCTAAGATAGACTTTCTGTGCTCTAATGTGTGATAAGTACACCACCTACTGGTAAAAGACTAACCCAGACTTGACCAACTTTCTTCAGTTTCATTCTACCAATATTCCCATCTCTTGTGTTCTTTTTATTTATTTGTATTGTAAAATACAAACTCCATAAGGAAGATCAGTAGATTGTGTTAATAGTGTGAGAAATTGTTTTACATAAATGTTTGCTCCTTAAAATTGACAGTCTGAAATGTCTCGTCACATGTGAATGTTAACTTCCTTCATTATGTTTTCTTGATTTTCTGACATGAACAAAGACTATATATAGCTGTTTTGCCTTAGCAATTTGAAAAATATAAATTTCAATTTTGTTTATCAGAATATAGTATCTAGATTATTGTATTCTTCCTATGGACCCATCAAAAAGGTCAATAAGTGAAGCTGTAATTTTGTCTCTAATGCAAAGTCAATCCAGAACTTTATAAACAGTTTAACACCAAGAACTTTTTTTTAAAAAAGCATGTCTGTTCAATAACAGTGCTTTTATATTTTAATCAGATATTAACTAATTAAATTAAACATTTAAAATAATTAGCTATCATATAGAGCCTACACGGTCCCATTTTGGATTTTTAAAAACAAAGATAAGCAATTCTATCCACGTATGTGACTTGCTTCACAACAGAATCACCGGCTGTACTGACAAAGACAATTGTCAGTGTTTCGCCCACTATGTAGTTTTCAGGTTTTCAGTTAGAACTGCCTTTGATTTATTTGTACCGAGAACACCTCTCGGTTGAACAGATAATATGTCAGTGAAGCAGATTAAGGGACAAACAATCGCACATCTAAGTATAAAGAGCTGACTGCTTAACTGACTGTGAAGATCAACCTTTTGCTGCAGCCCCTTTGTTGCATCATGCTGCAGCATCAGCACAAACTTCTGGGAATAAGCTGTCGCATAACCTGCCTCCCAGAGGATGTTAACTGGTAGTTCTGGTGAGATTGAGTAGAGCAGAAATGTATAATGACAGACAGAAGTACTTGGTCACTCATTAAGTTATTCTGACATTTGTCTTTAGCCTATCTGTTTACTTACCTGCTGAAGTACCTACTGAAGTATTATGATGTGCGTGTTTCCTAGTTCAGCGGTCAGCAGTTGTTAAAAATGATAGGACAGTTATTTTAGACAATTCTTATGTTGTATTTTTGTTTTTGCTTTGATATGCAGTTCCATGAAAAGCCTTACATAAAACATAAATTGAAGAGGTTGGAGAAAAAGGTTTCCTAAGTAACTCCTGTCAGTTTTTCAATATGTTCAGTATGTTATTGTTTTAACCTTATTTATTTTCTTTAACAGCTTTTTCCCTGTTTTTCCCTTTGTCTTTACATATTTACTTCCATAATGAGAAATGACAAACAATTTCAGTGAGACTTTTTCTTTGTGTCAAAGCTTTCAGTCACTGAATAGTGTGTCCTTCAATGCTGTGCAGTTTACACATTCCTCCACAGCCATGGAGTTCCTGACCACAAGGGGTCATTTTCTCCAAAATAAACCTTCTGAATTTCACAATTCACTAGCCCCATACTAGAAGAATAGACAGTAGAGACACACAAATCCTGGAGGCACTAAAAAATCTTTCTGGATCAAGGCCTTTTATTCCTGCAGGATAATTTTAGGTATCAGTTGGAGTTTGTTGTCTATTTCGTATTTTAAGTTGCATATGCATGGACCTACTGCTAGACAAACTATTGTATTTTTTTAAATAACAGTTTCCTTCCGTACAACTCCCATGGTGTAAGGTGTGTAGCTCTCTATTTAAAAGGCTTAGTGCACTAAACATGTTACACCCTGATTGCACAACCTTGTTTTTTTAATTCCAAATTCATAAATACTTTGAATTACACCTAATAGGACGTAAGAGATGTGCTCATAACAACCTTTTATTTTTGCCTAAAGTGAATAAACCCATCCTCCTAGAAGCTTGGTTAATGTAGCCCCTATAGTAGGAGCTGAAGATGTCTTTTTGAAAGCTGGCCTGAATAAGTTCAATGCTTAGATATTACTAACAAATCAAAGATGAGCAATGATGCATTGATACACTAATGACATGAATGAAAAGATACAGCAATCAGACACAAGAGAACAAAAAGTATGGTGAAAGAATAAGGAGGGTAAGTGAGCACTTTACAAATGAAAGCAGATGTATGAAATTACAAGCTGTCGGAACAGCAACGGAAATGAAGATGATAAAGTGTTTCCCTACCCCGATTATAATTATTCATTTGATTCACTTGTGTGTTTTCATTTTGAAAAAGGAAAAACAAGGTACAAAAAAGATAAGGAGGACCTTTAAAATTTTTGATTAGTGGCACTAACAAGTCGTTATGGTAGTCAGAGAAATACTTTTGTCTTTTTCCTTTTTTTTACTTTTTTGATGGATCGTATTGTTCTTCTCCAGTGATTGATTGCATCGCCTGTGGAAAATAATCCTGCTACATATTCTGCATGAAAGAGTAGAAAAGAGTTTGTCAGTACCATTGATCTTATAATAAATTAAATGTTGTATTTATAGTGCATTTTACTATTAAGTGTGGTTCATTAGGGTCAGAGAAATTTATTTCAGGCCATGTCCCTGAAAGCAGTACGCCAGCCTCAGATTTTGTTTTTTTTAAAAAGACACAAGTACAGTATTTCAGGTGGGTAGCTGCGTCAACATGCGTAGGCTGCAAAGGAACAAGTAATAGGTTTATTCCATGCTGAAAAGAGAAGAAAGAAAATACAACATTTCGGCCGTGGAGCCTTCTTCAGGTGTGAGGTGTGAGTTACAGTATTTGCCAGTTTGTGATGACAAAACAGCCTTTGAAACCCCGTAATATCAAAATAACTTAACTGCTTGTGGTAAAGACGATTTGGACAGGCAGAATTTTTATGTAGAAACTAATTTTCTAACCTCACTGATGTTATAAGAAGGGATCCCATAATCCATTTTCTGTGGAAAGATGCAGTTCTCTTTCAGATTTGATTAGTTTTATGCATTAATTGAAAGTCATGTATCAAATCAATAAAATTGCCAACTGCAGTTAAATATACAGTTAAAACTAAATATTCTTTAGATTTACATTTTGTGCACTTAAAATATATGCCTTTAGTGTCAGAATCTACACAGACAGTGTGCGTTCTGTAGTGTGTGTATAGGTCAACACCTACAGTACTTGTGTCTTCTCCCAAACCACCCTTTCAGCTGCATGTACAGTGTAATGCTTTTTCTCTGGATCGAGAAACATGTCTGTTGCAAGTTGCTGTACATCTGAATGTGATTTATCCTTATGGTAGCACAGTCATTTAGAATGCGCAAGGTATCCATAAGCGTGCCGCAATAGTCACTGTGGTGTACAGGAGCAACATTTTTCCACAATTGTAAAATGTAGGACTGCACTACTCCGTAACATTGCCATGTGGTGAAGTGAAGACTCAACTTTCTCAACCACTAAGCTGCTACACACCGGTGTGCTGTCAGTTGATGTCAAGTGTGTGTATAAAGAACCTTATACAGTATATAAGAAATACATTGTTTTAAACATATAAAACTAAAAGAATATGACTCAAAAAACAAAAAATGTCTTGAAGATCCAAAACACTTTACTAAAACCTCAAAGGGGTAGTTAGAATGTCAGCTTTTCTTTATCACATTGTGACAGGGCAGTTAAAATGTTTAGTTTTTTTATTTTTGGCTTCTGAGAAAGTGATGTGTCTTGATATTTAATAATTTCTACAAAGTCTGCTGCTGGTGGAAAAAAGTTGGAATTGTTGCCTTAAGAGTACACTATAGCTACCCGTAGTTGACAGACAAACGAGTACCTTGCTATGTCAAAAAAAAAATCAGTTTCCAAAAATAAGCCGTAAAACATAAATCTAGTTGGCCCAGTCTTTCCAATGCCTTCAAAAACTACACTTCCCAGAAAGCTCTGCCTAGACTTGGAGTTAATTTTTTTTTTCCAGTCATGTGCTGTTTATTGTTTTTAGTTTGAACTTCACAAATGTTAATGGAAAATAGTTAAAACAATCACGTCAAAAATGTCAGAAAACAATGACAGCAACTGACAAGAGTTAAAGAATTCAGTGCAGAAAATATTTATGAAGAAGGTGGAATACTGTTGTGTACCTTATCTTTTTATTTTCAGATATGACTACCAGCTATGTAAAAATTGTATTTATGTTCATAATATAGTTATTAACATTTTTGTTATTTTTATTTTAAGCTGCCATAATTTCCCATTGGACACATGATTCCATCTTAAGTGGATTTAGAGAAGCAGGTTTCTAGTACATGGATGTCACAGTACTATATTTTGAAGTACTGTATTATGAAAAATCTTTCAATCTAATTGATTCAGGCTTAATTCATGGCATGTACTGTAATCCCCCTTTCAGAAAACAAAACTATTAGCCACTTCACATTTATATATGCTTATATATAAAATATAAAATATGTAGCCTAGAAATATGTTATTGTTAATATTGTTAAACTAAGAAAAAAACACGAAAAGCGATACACTGAACTGAACTGTAGTATACCGCAGTGCTAAGTTTTGACTGGGCATTCTCTATGGCCGCAGCATCTCTGTAATTGTTAATACACTGTACAGGATCTGCTTTAATTTGGAATCTGCAGCGTGTGGGTGGATCCCCTCATCTTGACATCTTGAGGTCTTTCTCATCTTCATTTGCAGTTCTGGTTTTCATTCACACAGCATCTTATGTGGCTGTCTCTTTTAATCACATGCATTATTCCCACTGAATATGTCAGAAATGACATACCTCCTCACCACTTCTTATATTGTTGTTTTTACTTTTCTGTAACTAAACTTTGTTTTGAAATCGTATAACCTCTGTTGGAAAATCTGGGCAAAACCTTGATTTCTTTGCTAATAAAAGACAAAGTTAGAATCTTGTAGACTGTAAATGTAAAAGTAAAAAAAGTGGTTTAATTTTGGGGGGAAAATGTTCTGCTGTTGTCACAATAATTTAATAACAGACATAAAAGTTTTAAGAGTTTATGTCCTAAGAAATTCTTACAGTAGTTCCTCCTCCAAATGTTGTGTATTTTATCTGTATTCCAGTGATTGCCAGTAACTACCAGACCTGCTTGGGGCTGCTTATGCACTACCCTCCTATTGGAGACATACATGCCCTTCTTCAAAAAGCTCTTTTCCTCAGAGATCCCAAGGTAATGTCCTGTTTCTTTGTTTTTCCAGCTGCTTCTGAATGTTCCTGTGTACACCATCTGCAAATATTTTACAGGTTTCATGGGTGTGTTAATTACTAAGATGAAAATTCATAAATGTGAACAATAACAAGTGTGGTTCAATTGGTTTTGCAGCACAGAGGAGAAAGAGAAGAAGAGCTGTTTACGAATGCAGATTGCATTGTTTAGTCCAAATAAACAGCATAATATTGAAAGTAAAGTTGAAAAAGAGCTAATAAGGGGTTCCCTTGGTTGGCCTGTGGTTGCAAAACCACAGGCCCACCATGATAAAGAGATCCTTGGGGACACGCATACAGGTAGCCATGTGTTCCCAGGACTGAATGAGTCAAATTCACCTGCACTTGCAACCCCAAATGAAATAAGAAAAGCAACAACACTGTGCTATTTGTAAAATGCTAATGATCTATTGCATAGTGGTTATTGAGGTCCCTATTTTATATATTTATTTAAAATACCTGGAATAATTTTGATTTCTAGTAGAAGGATAACAGCATTCTGATGTGATCGTTGATTACTCCATGAAAGATCAAGATCCGTTATAAACAGGTATACTAAAATATATGTTATATGTTTTTATTTTCTAATCTTTTTTTAAATCGAATAAACTCAGAGAAAGGTGATTTAAGCCGTGCATGCATTTGTAATATGCATCACATATTTCATTAAGGTAAATTCATATTTAATTTATGCGGAGTGTACCTTGTCCTTATGAGAGTTTTTGGAGATAGTCATAATTGGCCCAGAACATTATTTAGAAGACCTTCCCACAACCCAATTAAAACTGAACATTTCAAGTATTTTCAACATATTGTGTTTCCTGCCTAGCCAGATGTTCTCAAGCACCTGCAGGCAAGAGTGCACATTTTCTGACAAGAAAGGGTTTTGGCGGCGATTTTCATGTTAACTGTTAATTTTGTAAGAATGCATTTTCCCAAGAGGCTCTGGTAGGCATTCTAACTTAACATTTGCATCAAGGCCAATATTACAAATTTGTTTGGATTTTGCTAGCACCCCAAACTCTGTTTAAGACTTAAATGAATAATATTTAAAAAAAAAAATTAAACATTTCCTGATATCCTTTGCATTGGAATGTACCCCTAGGATTATGATTTTGTATTTTTTTCTTAACTCATTTTAATTACAATTTGCAGTTCCTGGCATACAATGTGGTTATTTTCCTGAAGTGTCTAGGAAGTAATCTTTTGTTACTCTTATGTTTGAAAATGGCCTTTCTGTTATTGGTCTATTTGCCTTTTCTTATTAATGTTAATAACCTAATATTTTATAGGTTATTCAGAAAAGCTAAGAAAGAAGGATTTTTGGTCATCTTTTTAAAAAAAAATCACCAGCAGGTAATGCTTATAGATGCTGTGTTTAAAGTGCCCATATAAGTCAGAGGCATACCCTGCAGATTGATGTAACAGTGTCACCAGTGTGCCTCGTAGCAGTCCACATTTAACACTTGACTCAACACATTTGAAATGTTCATAGAAATTACTGTTTATGACTTCCTGATCCTACCAAACTCCTCTTATTATTGTTTCCAGCTGATTAAATTAAAATCACTTATATAAAGTCAGAATGTGGTCTAAATGATAAGCAATGTGAATAGGAATCCACTAGCAGAAGCATGGTGATGGCCAAGCACTGCTAGCATGGGGTGAATTTGATCAACAAGGTATCTCCTTCAGCTTGCTAGGTAACTGTAAGCTTGTTTCAGTCTTCCATTTGACACTACCTCTCCTGTGGATTCTAGAGGATCTTGCAGTATGAAGCATCACAGCAGATGGCTTGACAGTGCATGTCTCAAAGAAAACTTGCCTGGTATTAATTCCTTCTGTGATTGTATAGAGGACATACTGTAACTGTGAAATGAATTAACTGACAACTATAAAGTTTAAACTGAGGGATGTGTTGTGCTTGAAACATTTATTGGCGGCAATAAATGTTATGCAAATGACTTGGAATTTCTCTTTACACACACCTTTGGCTTATTATATACAGTATTTGCATACCTCAGTGGTCTCCACTTTAAAATGCTCTTCTTACCTTATGTTTTCATATCATTGTGAGAGGTTCATTTTTATTGTAAAGTTAGTGCCAGTGAAGAGCACTGAAGGGAGACTGACAACACACATTTTCTGCAATTGTTTTGCAATGTCTCTTAAGTATTTTTGTGTGTTAGCAGTGTTGTCTTCTGTCAGTGACATTTGCAAAAGGTCACAATGTCATTTGTCTTTGGACAACTGCTCAACTTCATGGAAAGCATGAAAGAAACTGTTTTTGTATTGAACATGAAAAGGAAAATAAATGAACTTTAGTATTAACATGTAAAAGAAAAAAACACATTTCTTGTGCTTCATGTCAAAAATAGAGATGCTTCTATGCAGTGTTTGTTAGAAAAGCAATGAAGCTTCCATTAAGTCTGTGAATGCCCACTAGAAAGTATGTATGCGTATTCTTAAAACAGATGGTTCTGTAAAGAGCTTATTGCTTGTTGACCTTGCCATTCATTTCAGAAGTCACCTTATATTTTGTATCTGTTAGATGACTCATGATGTAAGCTTAACTTCAGCTCAAGTGATCTTAACCTGCCAAGTTGAACAATTAAATTTCCTAACAAACCAGCAGCAGTGATGCATTGAATAAGTGACCTTGTTTTTTTTATTTTATGATACCCATACAAATTAATTAATCAGTTGTAGTTCATGCTGCAGCCTGTCAGAAAAGTCATCTTGAACTCTTGCAATAAAAGAAAAATGCTAACATTTTCTATTACATGCAGTAGTTCATTTATTTGGACAGAACTTAAAAAGTGTAAAGTATTTGGTTCTATCAATGTAGATTGAAAAATACACCATAATAAATTTAGCAATTATCTCTGCCACTCATTTTTATTTATTTATAATTGAATTAAATTCAGGGTGAAATTTGCTCAGGGTTTAATGTTAAAAGTGTATGAATATTTATAAGGTGTCATTCACTTGGTAAGTCTTTTCATGTTAAATTTTTATTGTGCTTCTTTGTGGCCTAAATTAAGATGAATCATATGTTTATTGTAAAATCCGGCTGATTATTTGGTTTATTTATTTGGTTTATTATTCACAAATTGTAATGGCAAGGGTTCAGCTGATTAGTTTCACATTCTTGGCGTGAACCTGACGATGATTTTAAATCATTCCATTCGCGTTTCATATTAAGGAGTTGAAGTAGTGTATCGGTGTTTGAAATAAGATGTTACAGCAAGATTAAGGACAAAAAAAACATCATATGTGGTACATTCTTGCAGAGAGAGCCTCTTCCCTGAGATGGAATTCTATAGAACACACTACCTTATGAATATGGATTGCTTGGTGTTAGGGACACTGACATATGGTCCACAGTTTCATATATCCCCAAAATGGTAGACAAAAACTTAAAATTGGATTTAACACTTCAAATCCCTGCTGAAATGGATGGATGATACAATTACATTTCCAGCTATGTCTTGAAAGCTGCTAATCCAATTATGATGGAAATTGGTATGAATTCACTGTAGTGATGGTTTGCAGAGTATGATATTAGAATTTGTGTTCAGTCTTGTTAGTCCCTTTTTGAATGAGTTTCGACTTCTGACTGGATAAGCTAACACGTACTGTATCTGTAGAACCACTAGACCCGATGTAATAAAAGCAGATTCAGTACTTGGTATATAGGTTGCATCTTGGAACCCATAATCCATATATATTCATTATGTCAAATCTTAAACTAGAAGAGCTTCTCACATTTTACAACCTCTTTGCTACATTTCTTTTATATTCTGAAAAAGAGTTTTTCAATGCTATGATTGATTTCTCAATAAGGGAAAATACTGTATTTTTGCCTTCATTTAGGGAAAATAAAGTAAGGCTGATATATTTTTCTAAAAAGATTAGTCTTTTTGAAAATGTAAACACATATACAGTACAGTAGATCTAATGATTGATAAAACTGTACTATGTCAGGCAGATAAGACATTTATCTGTTTCCTCTCTGATTGATTAGCTTCCTAATTACAAGTCCCTGAACGTTTGTTTTTCATTAAAAGTTTTTGTACATTTTTAAATTCAGTTAATTTAATTAATTTGAAATAAAACTTTTGTCAACTCTCATGACAACTGTGTTGCTTTTTATCATCTTAGTTAACCCCAAATGAAAACAAAAGATGGTGGATCTCTTTAAGAGAAATGTATTTGCCATATTAAGTTGGTTGGCTTGGTTCTCAGCAGCGATATGTTGTGACCGCTGTAACGGGCATCAGAAATATATTAGTAGGGGAGCACATGCTTCAGCATATGAAATGCCATATGACTGTAAAGCTTGCCAGGTGACTGTAAAGCTCTGCGCCCAAGTTGCTTTGTCAAATAATGACACTTAGTAATTATTGTTTATGGGCTTCCATCCAGATAATGTACCTTGAAAACCCATCTATCACTTTGTTAATACAAACGGTGGACTCCGGAACATACAAGGCAGCCCTTGATACATATGAAGAAAAAAAGACATAATAAAATAATCCACATAGATAAAGACAGATATTTAATACTCATATGTTAGGGGAATACTTGTCCTTTTTTTTTTAAACATTTTTTTCATTTCAAGTTTTAATTATAAACACGTAATGCTGTTTTACCTGAAAAACATAGGTGCCAAAATTATTGACACCTTTCAAGATCCCTTCAAATACAATCAAACACATCTGTAAAAATAATATATTTATACTTGTTTGAGTTCAGTTTTGTCTTAAGGAACTAATGTGTGTACTTTAGTGACTTCCTGTTTCCCTAGGGTATAAAAATGATGAAACACACACAGAAAAACCTTTTGTCATCCATCAGTATGTGGAAGGTCAATGAATTAACAACAGAAAAGCAAACCAAGCAAATAATGTGTACAAAAAAAATAAGTAAAACCTTATAAATACCAATATTGACTCTCAGAGC